GATTGCGCGGTATATTTAAAACAAAAATATGTCTGTCTCGAGTGCATGCCCTTTAAATGTTAGCTAAAAGAAATTTTTTCGCATGTCTGCATGAAGACACTAATTCATTACGTTTGTTCAAAGTAGCCAGTTCAGGTTTACATATAATAAAGTATTTTTCCCACAGGCAGAGATTACATCTATTAGAAGCAGGGCTGTAGGGTTTGGCCCGTTTCAAGGTTTGCCATTTAATATGAAATTCAATTCCTTTGCGCTTTAACTGCCAGACATATTTACTAAGTTCAGTGGAGTTCCTTTTCTCGTACAAAGTAAATGAGGATTGTGGTTGTAACGGGCCAAACCCTACAGCCCTGCTTCTAATAGATGTAATCTCTGCCTGTGGGAAAATACTTTATTATATGTAAATCTCAACTGGCTACTTTGAACAAACGTAACGAATTAGTGTCTTCATGCAGACATGCCAAAACATTTCTTTTAGCTAACATTTAAAGGGCATGCACTCGAGACAGGCATATTTTTGCTTTAAATATACCGCGCAATCTTAATAGCTTGGCGTTATGCTGATGTGTTGTTAATACTTCCGCGTCCTGTCAATTTTATCAAGTAACAAAATAATTGCTTTGCGTGCTTTGTAAATAGGATTAATTTAAAGCTTTCATCCACTTGTACATAAATACTGTAGGTTTTTTGCTGTAGTCATAAGTCTAATTTATCTGATGAGTGCCACGTCTTGTGGTACGAAACTAATAGTAATATAGATGCCTAGTGGAATTTGTTGAGTCGTTGCATTTTATATATATATATATATATATATATATATATATATATATATATATATATATATATATATATATATATATATATATATATATATATATATATATATATTAAGATGAAAATGTTATAGAGTGTGTATTATATAATTTCCATACCCAGCGCAGGCAGAAGGATGTTGTCTGCCGCGGCTGGGTTTCGAACCCCGACCCAGCCGCGGCAGCCAACATCTTTCTGCCTGCGCTGGGTATGGAAATTATATAATACACACTCTAGAACATTTTCATCTTAACATATTACAGAGTGTACAATTACACAACTAACATATATATATATATATATATATATATATATATATATATATATATATATATATATATATATATATATATATATATATATATATATATATATA